GAATTCTGACTGCTCTCTGTACTTGGAGCTGGAATGTTCTCCTCAATGTGAAGGCCTGGCATCCTGTCCAGGGTGGACCCCCGCCTTACACTGCCGGGGGGGGGGGGGGGGGGGCTCCAGCACAGTGCATGTTATTCGAACATCGTGTTTTAATAAGTCTGCAAGGATCTGTTAAAGCAACAAAAAAGCCCTTTTGGGAAGGAAGTGAAAGTGCGTTACAGAGGTGAGTTGCAGCACAGCTACAGGCAGGACGTGTTTTCACACCGTTGACATCCACCACTGTGCAGCCACTTTACAGTGTGGGTCAGCCATGATGTGCTTGGTGCCCCTTCAGAGAGGTTGGGAGGGAGAGCAGAAGAGCGATGCTTTGGGGGTTTGTTCTCATGAAACAGTTTGTCTGTTGCTTCCTGGCAGAAACGCACAGGTTCAAAGCACAGCCCTGTTGTCTGAACAGCAGAGGTGAGCCTGTGCTGTAGACTGAGGGAACAGATTACGGAGGCTACAGCAAACCTCTCAGTTATTCTACCCAAAATATGAGGCGTCCTTTAGATAAAATTCCTTATTTCAGTCACGGAGTTAGTCCATCAAATTTCACGAAAACCTGCATTCACGGATTCAGCCTCCCACCAACTGTGCCGTCTGTGAACTGCCTCAGTGTCGCCATCTGCTGACCAAGCACAGTCACACGGTACCTTTAAATTCCTGGATTAAGAAGTAGGTAAACCTGCAGGTTTCCCCCGGCTGCGGTGATGCCTTCGACTGTTAATGTTAATCTTGTCGCTCAAAAAGTTAACGACGACGAGTGAAAACACAGCTGTATCCAGCTGTTACTCCTAGCGCCTCGACTAGGTGTGGCTGCTGCTTATGTTCAGGCATTTGGAATGGCAACATAACTGAAATATTCCACTGACTGATAAACGGCTCGATAATTTAATACTAATTAATGATGAATTAGTAAATGACATAGTTGTAAAATTTAAGATGTTTTTCTTACAGTTTCCCTCCAACAAAGACAACAGCAGAACACAGAGTTGTTGAGATGTTCCAAGCTTAACCCAGAACAACAGCTGAGTTAAGTTTAGGTAATTAGGCATTTGGCCGGAGCTAAGAACAGCCTTCACGCCGGGTCTAAGAGATAAGCAGCTACGGTACGCCTTCCCAAACACAGTAACTCAAACTGAAGATGAGGAATAACAATGAGAAGCTACAGATTCACTGAGGACAGGGCAATGTGTGGAGATGAGTTCAGTAATCGCACATGAAGGTAGACCCAAGGGGATGAAGTGCCCTGGTGTTCACACCGCAGCAACGATGAAAAAAGGCGTCTGTTCCAGAGATGAGTATTGTAAGACTCAAGGAGCAGATAACCTCACAGTAATCAGTACGCAAATCAACAATGCATCTGACTTCGCCCACGTAGCCAAATTTGCGTTTTTGGTCTCGACTCTCCCTAGCTCTCCACAAAGAGCTAGAATGTTTTCCTGCGGTGTAAAAGGGGTGCATTCCAAGAAACACAGAGCATGGATGGAACATGGACCAGACAAGAGTCTGCTGAAGAAGTGAAAGAAGGATCTTGTATCTGGAGGAAGTTAAACGGCGGGCATGTTGTGGAATGACCGCAGCTACAATCCGAAGCCTCAGAGCAAAACGCCGAGGACGTCAATGGCCAGAAAAGCCGAAGAATGAGACATTGCAACCCGATCCGGATATCCTCTCAAGGCTCCAGCTCGCAATGGTTGACTTGGCTGGAATGTGACTCTTCTTCCACAGTTGACCCCATCGACACAGATTTTTTTTTAAAAACTCGTCTCTAACTCTACATCGTTCTTTCTCCTAAGATGCCACCAGACCCAGCACAGGCTCTAACGTCCCTCAGAGCAGCGATTAGTTACGCCGGCGGGCCAATTTCCCACAATGCACTGTACCTGCACAGCTCAGTATGGCAGAGGTCGTGTTCCTCTTCTGCGGCGCTTTCCCAGGCTGCACGGGGACCCCGCAGCTGAGGGAGTAGCTGTTCTCGGAGTCTGAGGGAGGAGACACACGCGGGAATAAGCAGCACCAAACAGGCCAGGCCTTGGGGACCCACAAGATATACGGGCGTCCAATAAAAACAAGGCCCAATGCATATCAAAATACTAACTTATTAGTGTCCCTGGATCTGCTTCACTCTCCCAAAGCAAGAAATAGCTTAGATGTAACCTGAAAGGTTCGTCTCATGGGGATGCAGATTCCGAGGGTTGCTCGGGTGTTTGTCTTGATTAAGGAACATAATGACCAGATTGAAATATTTTTTACCCCCCCCGCCTTCTCCATATTGGGGGGGGGGGGGGGGGGTGCAGGGTGACGGAATGCCTTTCAGAAGGCTGCAAATATGACCTTGACTCCGCCTCCGGAGCTCCTGCGGCAGCTCCTCTGTTTCTCTTGGCCTCCGACTCGCAGGCCACAAGGTTTCAGGGGATTAAATGTGGTTTTATATTGCCTTTCTATTCCCTGATTATTTAAGAGGCCAGAGGAGCCCCAGGGAAACGATGCTGCCATTTGAAACACGGTCAGAGAGAAAGAACACTAAATATCAAAAGGAGGATGATTAAATGACGGGAAAGACACTCTTCCCGAGGAACTGAAAGCCCTGCCAGAGCACTACAGTCTATTCTCTGCACTTTTTCAAGTGACACTCTCCAAAAGACACAAAAGCCAATAATTCGGCTCATACTTGAGGACAGTCTATCAGTCTACGTGACTGTCCGGCCAACAGAAACCAACCAGGAGTTTATTTAATACATTATACACACATTAAGAATATCTGAGAGGAAAATGTGGCTGAACCCCGCTTCGGATTACTCCAGGAGCCTTGGAATTAATTTGTTAAGGTTTACCACAAGACACAAGCTGCATGTAATAGCCTATCATTTATCTCTTGGAAAATCAACCTGAAGTATTTCTTCAAGGAAAAATTTCCTATTGAACAGTTTTCTGTCACCGCGCGGAGTTTTCCCTTCCAGAATAATGGAAGTTCTAATTAAACCAAATCAGATGCTATTTAAGAGAGTTTGAAGAAACCGTAATGAGACTATTTCTCCACTAGAGGCCATCAGAGGGTTAGGAATGACTGACATTCTATTGACCTCAGCAACAATAGCGTTAGTCAAGGACTGGTGGAGCTAATCATTGTACCCAGTGAACTTCTGCCGGGCCCAAATATATGGTCTTAGAGGACCAGCAATACAGCAGGCACCCTGAGCCAAGCTCTCACACCTTTTTTCTGGGACCTACCTGCAACGAAGAGGGCGTTGGAAGGGCAGGAGAGCGAGCACGTCTCTACTCCTCCCGTTTTGATGCAGCTCAGTTGGGCTTTGGGGGTGGGCTTTCCATTGGGGAGACACTTCACCGCCTCTGAGGAGGACCCGGGGTTACGTTACCATGGTGACCAACCAATGCGTGGAAACCTCTGGACCCCGTGCGTGGGAACACGGAGCCTGGCGCGTTGTGTGCGTGTATCACCTACCGACACAGTCTTTCTTATTCCAGTGCAGCCTCTTCCCGGGCAGACACACGCACTCGTAGCTGCCCTGGGTGTTCAGGCAGCTGTGCTCGCAGCTTCCGTTGTTGATGCTGCACTCGTCGATGTCTGCCAGACAAACGCACGTGAGGAGCATGCTCAGAACGTCTCTGCGCAGACGGCCTCGCTGTGTCACCGTTATGATATTCGACTTGGGTGACATTCATGCAGTTTCATATTTATGTATCTTTTTCCCTTCTGATCTTGAGTTGTATAATTGGACAACCTCTAAGAGCCTCGAAAACTTTTTAAATTGAAGCAGCCAATCAGAAAAATTATCTCCTTGATTCTGTCCCGTTACTGGCTAATACTCTCTCCAGGGCTGCTGGGTATTTTTCCGGAGAGGAGCACAAGATGGGCCATAATTTATACAGAGGGGCCAACCTTATAATTATCCAATGATAGGCTTTGAGTCGGTGAGTGACAGGAGAGGGGGCATTCAGGGGGCCCATCAGCTTTCAGCTGGGGTCAGTGCCCCTGTGGCCCCGCCCCTGTATATCCCCCTGTTGTAGTTCAACAGTGGTCACAGTGTCAGTGATGCTGCACTACTCAGCTCTGTACCCCTGATCTCAACCCTATGCTGCTCCCATTGTCCACATAAGCACAGGTACCACGACGATGGCGAGTGATGTAACTGAATGAACGAAGGCTTATTCTATGAAAGCCACTGTGCAGGAATCTACGAGCAGGTCCAACAGTCTATGTTTCATACAGTGCAGGTCTTTGCACCAGTGCAGGTCTTTGTGCAGGTCCTTGCACCATTACTAAGGTTATTAGCGGATGTCTGAATGCACAAGAATACATCTGAAAACAATAAGGACTAGAAACGTACTTTTAGGTGAATCGGGTGACTGATTCCAGAAAGGATTTCATTTAACACGTACAAACCCGACAGCAATTCCAAGGATCTTTCAGCAGGGCTAGATGACGAAGAGGAAAATATGGAATAGTTTCGGGCCGGGGCACAAAAGGACAGCGTAAGAGATTTGAAACGGTGCACGACGTAAACAGCAACGATTCAATGGGGCAGGGGCACGGTTGAGAGAGAGAGATACGTAAAGGGGCGGCTGAAAGAAGCTGAAAAGAGTGGAGAATGGAAAAAAGGAGAGGGTCAGGAAGTGGGCCCTTCGGAGACTGAGCCGCGCATAGTACTACGGGTTGTGTGGGGTAACGAGTGTGGCGCAAACCGTTAGCCGTGAGGTGTTTAGGCTACAGTGCGGGGCTGAGAGTGTCGGCCGGTGCTGCCAAGTGCACCGGAGCCTAGATGGGCGGGATCTGGGTTTAGTCGCTAATCAAGCCGCCCATGTCAGCTCCAGGTGTTTCACAGGTGAGCACTGAGCACACTGCCAGGCAAAGGGGTAGTGAATAAAGCTGTGTCTATCCAATCAGCTTGTGAAGTTCCCTGTCTGCTGTTGCTGTATCCAATCAGCTTGTGAAGTACCCTGTCTGCTGTTGCTGTATCCAATCAGCTTGTGATGTAGCCGGTCTGTTTGTGCTGTATCCAATCAGCTTGTGATGTAGCCGGTCTGTTTGTGCTGTATCCAATCANTGCTGTATCCAATCAGCTTGTGATGTAGCCGGTCTGTTTGTGCTGTATCCAATCAGCTTGTGATGTAGCCGGTCTGTTTGTGCTGTATCCAATCAGCTTGTGATGTA